TACTAAAATATTTCTGTTTTTTCAGTTCTACTAAGCTATTAAGGATTCTTTAGTAGTTATAGTAATATTAAATTATGAATTATGTACAATATATTTATTTTATAAATGTACATACATATTTTTACTATACAATACGAGGGTTTTGTAACATTAAAATATGAATAAATCTAGATTATTTTTCTCCTTCAAAAGATTTCTCTTTAAAGCCAACACAGAGGTGCCTGGGTTGCTCAGGTGGTTAACCGTCTGCTTTCAGTTCAGGTGGTGATCCCAGGGTCCTGGGATCAAGCCCTGCATGGCTCCCTACTTGACTGGAGCCTGCTTCTTCCTCTTTCTCTGCTGTTCTCCCTGCTTGCATTCTCTCACTCTCTCTGTCAAATAAATAAATAAAATCTTTGAAAATAAATAAAGAAATGGCACATTTCCTTTTTTTTTTTTTCTTTTTTTCTGGCTTAATTAACAAAATTTATTTTTTCATCATTCTGGAGGCGAAAAAGCCAATATCAAGGTTTCAGCAGGTTTGACTTCTCCTGAGGCATCTCTCTTAGGCTGGCAGAGGGCCATTTTCTAGGTATGTCTTCACATGGTCTTTTCTCTGTAACTATTCATCTTTGGTGTCTCTTTTGTTGCCACAATTTTCTTCTCTCTCTCTCTCTCTCTTTTTTAATTGAGATAATGTTGACAAATAACATTATATTATTTTCAGCTGTACCACCTAATGAATGATTCAATATAAGATAAATTGTATATACTATAGAAATGATCACCACAGTAAGTCTAGTTAACATCATCACAACACAGTTACATTTTTTTCTCGTGATGAGAACTTTCAAGGTCGACACTCCTCCACACTTTGATGGCTATTATCACAATGGCCCAGTGCTCTCATCTTTTTTTTTTTTTCTCTTTGTCAACGATATATTTAAATTTATTTATTTATTTATTTTTTATTTTCAGCATAACAGTATTCATTGTTTTTGAACCACACCCAGTGCTCTCATCTTTTACTACAAGGCACTCAGTCCCCAACCACTTGATCCTCTCTGCAATGTTTCTTGTAGCAATGCTACCAAATATATTGTCTGCCATCTCCTTCAGTGTTCCTTTTATGAGCTACTATGTTCTTAGAGCAAGGCAAATTTTTGCTTCTCATGAGCAACTGATGTTAATTTTTATGATAATGACACTGACTCTTCCATCTAATAATTTCCCTTTCCTTTAACTGCTATTCTTAGTTATCAGAGCCAAATATTTTGTCTGCATTCAATAAATATTGCAGAAACTTATTTTTTAAAAACAAATCTTTTCTTGGTTTCCAATTAAGCAAACTAACTTCCTTCCTTCCTTCTCTCCCTCCCTTTCTCTTTTTCCCTTCCTTCCTTTTTCCTTTTCTTTCCTTTTTCGTTTTTCTTTTATTTTCTTCACTTTAGTTTACTTTACCGTTTCTTTCCTTTCTTTCCCTTCCCTTCCCTTTTCCTTCCTTCTTTCCTTTCTTCCTTCTCCTTTTATGTCTTTCTTGGTTTGACTTCCTACTCTCTTTTTATTTTATCTTTATCTGCATGCATGTGTGTGACAACATCGTAAATTATCTCAGTAATGTTTACCGATTATGATATTCCATCTTTACTTCCACAAACCACATATGAAAATCAATCTTAGTTATACTTTAATCAACTTTAATCTTAAATCAAAGCCAAGTGATTTTTCTTAGCTATTAACTTTATTAGACTGGACATGTAACAACTTACCTCTTCATCAATGAGATATTTTATATATGCTTACCCTTAGAATCTCCATCATCCCAGAAATGGTGAATTAAAAATTATTTTATTTGGGGCACCTGGGTGACTCTGTCCATTGTGTCCAACTCTGGATTTTGGTTCAGGTCACAATCTCTCAGGGTCCTAAGATCAAGTCTTATGCTCTGCACATAGTAGGGAGTCTATTTCTCTCTTTCTCTCTCCCTTTGCCCTTCCCCCTGCATGCATGTGTGCACAACTCTCTCTAAAATAGATAAATAAATATTTTAAAAATATTTTCATTTAGGGAAATTATGAGTCCCATGGGGTTCTGAGGTTATAATAAAATAACATATGAGTATGAAAAAAATCTATTTGTGGCAACAACTATCTTCAGAAAAAAAATTTAATTGTCCACACCTTTGCTTATTTCAAATGGAAGAAAAATCCACGAAGGGTATAAAATAGTTATATGGAGGACAGATAGAAGTTACACTCTTTCCGAATATATTCTGTTGTGTAGATATGACTTTGGAAGCTTAAAAAGGTTTTGCATAATTATAGAATAAAATTAAATCAGAGTAGAAAAAGAAAGGAATCCCTAAAAACCCTGAAAAAAAAACAGAACCAATAAACCTGAGTTGGTGGCTCCCTCACACAAAGGGAAAATATTTCAAGTGGACTTAAAACACAGTAATTTGATTATAAAATAAATCAAAATAAACAAATGGGATAAAAATAATTGGGGGAAAGAAACAAACCTTAAACAGCTTTTAGTAATACTGTTGGTGGTAATGCTAATGTCTTTATTTTGAAATAAGCATACCAAATAAATAGTTACATTAATATTTGGGAACTAAAAATTTTAGCGTATGAGAAAAATTCAAAGTATATAAAAGATATAAGCAATATCCTGCAACCCTAAATTTAAACTGAAGTATCACTATAGTTTGTAATATACTTCTTCTTTTAAATCATATGTATTTCCTGGCTTTGTTTATTACAAAAGGTCTAGGGATGGTGACCAATTCCAAGAGCAACAAATACCCTATCATTCAGATGGCAGACTCTAAATACCATTTTTCACTAAAGGGAATTATGACTACTTGCAGAAATGCAAAATTCTAGGTCCAGAGCAGGAAATGTAGAATGAGCCCCAACATGTTTTGCTTTGTTTGTTTTGTAATCCTTAAAACCAAAGAAGGTTATCAAGTTTATAGGGGTCTTTTTAAGTATATAAGTGAATCAAATTGAAGAGGCTGACAGAAGAATTTGAGTACAAGTGTGTCATGTGGCTAACCATCATTGGAACATAAATCTCATAACTACATACCTCATCCACAAGCCTCTTTTTCCCATAAACCACATTCAGAAACCAAAAGAAATTACCAGAATTCTTTATTCCTGAGAGCCAAAACGTGGACTTTTTTCCCTATAATTATTTCTACATAAACAAAGCAACTGCTTTTATTAGTTTACTTATGTCTTTCTCTATGGTATTATTTTTTACCTTGCTTCAATATAAAAAGGATTTCAAATAAATTACAGAACATATGTAAGGAAGTAAAAATAGAACAGAAAAATCACATGAAGGAAAAAATAAAGGGAGTTAGTATTAAAATTTAAATTCATGCCATTTATAAGCAAGTTATAAGAAGTTGCTAAAGAAAGACAACAAGTCTTTGGGTTTTGGACTGTCATGAAGTAGGACATATTTAGGCTAAACCATTCACAGCAATAAGAAAAAAAAAAAAAACAAGCTAATTAATGAGTAGAAAAGCATTTCCCACTCAAGAATCTTCATGAAATCATAATTTTGCTATGTTATAAAGAGTTCTTTTTAATGACAAGTCTACAGAAAATACAATGGAGGCATCAAAGTGTCATTGTTTGAAACATTATGTGGAAGCAGAGTTCAGCAAATTCCAAACCATACATAGTCTAACCAGCACTCTGGCTAAAACCAAAGAACATCTTCTAGAAATCTCAAAAGACACAGCTATATTTTCTTCACATTGTCTTTCCTAAATAGTACTTTTTTCCAGCCAGCTTTTGCTACGGATTGAACCACCATAAATATAAGTCCATTACCCCATCAATATATCACACTACTTTCCATGAATTTTCAGGCTAGGTATTAAAATATTGACAACAAACGAGCAATTGAAGGTCTTCTTTACTGAACTAGTGTATCATTGCCCTGGAAATACTCTCCACTATTGTAAGTGAGAAAAAAAATATATATATATAATCATATATGTAGCACAATCCAATCATTATAAAAACAAACAACTAAATGAATATGCAATTGCATGTATTTACAATTAAATTGCCCAGCAGAATATCCATTAATGTGTGAAAAGTGGGTATCTCAAGATGGAAAGATGACAGATCATACTTTTCTGTATTGTCTGATATTTTAAAAACATACATTTTCTTCAGATTCACTATAAAATTTAGTTATGTTCATAATCATTGGACTATAATATTCATCCACAATAAACTGATCCAGATAAAGTTAAAACTATCAGTAATTATCATTATTGAAAATTTCCAGATATTTATATATATTTAAGGATTCTTAAATATATATATTTATATATAGGAGCACCTGGGTGGCTCAGTCTATTAAGCATCTGCCTTCGGCTGGGGTTGTGCTGGGGTCCTGGGATCCAGTCCCGCATCAAGCTCCTTGTTCAGAGAGGAGTCTGTTCTCCCTCTGCCTGCCACGCCCCCTGCTTGTATTCTCTTGTTCTCTCTCTCTGACAAATAAATTAATAAAATCTAAAAAAAAAAAAAAAGAATTCTTATATGGAAACATACAGTAATATTTCAAAACTCACACTTAATTTGTTTTAGGACAGAAGTGATAGGAATGCTGAGTCCCATAAGAACTGGTGTCTTCCGCCCTGACATTTGTATCAGAATTAAACCAAAGATAAAGCAAAATATTAACATAATATAAACAGTAAACATTATGGCCATTACATTTTCTTCTAAGTAAATCTATCTGTGGCTACTTGGGTTTTAAAATAATTTATCTCCATATCTATTTTTCCTTTTTATTAAGAGTTTATAATTTTATTATTTTTTGAGGATTATATAGATCATTACTAAAATATCATTCACTAGCATGGATAAGATAAGATTATTTACATAATTTATATTTCTTTTCTGGAGGGGAAAATATTACCAGACCACTAACTTTCCTTACTCTTAAATTTTAACTTATAATCTGGGTTTTCAAGTGTCTAAGCATGTGTGCTTGCTTTGGCAGCACATATATTGAAGTTGGAACAATACAGAAATTGGCATGGTCCCCGCACAAGGATGACACTCAAGTATCTAAACATAAAATATTTTAAAAGGTTAACCACAAATTTAATATTTTCTTTTTTAGTACAACTTCCATATTACATTATGTTCCATCCCTGCTCCTTTTGTTGGTTATATTTAGTACTGGTTCTTCACTTGGTTACAAGTGTCTTCCCTTCAAGACCAAAGGAATAGGACTGTACAAAGTATACAATGGTCAACATTTCATCATTAAAGTATTTATACATCCATGAATAATGTCTGCGATATTTTGCTGGACAGTTATTTCTCATTTGTTGAATAATATTCACAACCTTTAAAAAAAAACTCTGGTTTACTTTATTTTACTTTATTTATTAAATTTCTTACACTATCCATCCAGTGATATTCTATTTTTTTAAGATTTTACTTATTTATATGATAGAGACACAGTGAGAGAGGGAACATCAGAAGGGGGAGTGGGAGATGGAGAAGCAGACATCCCACCAAGCAGGGAGCCTCATGGGGGACTTGAACCCAGGGCCACAACTTGAGCCAATGGCAGATGCTTAAGGATTGAGCCACCCAGGCGCCCTATTCAGTGATATTTTAAAGGTAACTGTAAATACTTGGAAAATGATACAGATTTGTGAGTACTTGGCTTACTCATATGAAAGTGGCCCATTTAATTGGATTTGTAAAATAGAGAGATAAGGCAGATTTGTATATAGATATTCAAATAGTGCCTTGACTTGTTTATCAAAGAGTTATTTCTAAAATATGTTTATTCTTGAGACTTAAAAGAAATACATTAGAAAGATGATATCAGAATAATCTCTCTAATCTAAAATATTTTAAGAATATATTTTATTAAATTAGGTATGAGACTTGTATCTTATTTTTAAATATAAATAGATCAAGTAGAATTTATCTCACCATTTCCTTTCATTTGTTTTTATTTAGGTATAATTAACATACAATGTCATGTAACTTCCAGGTGTATACATTTTTCTACACATTATGCAGTGCTCACTGTGATAAGTATAGTCTGTATCTGTCATCAAATAACACTATTACAGGATTATATTCTCTACACCATATTTTTCATAAAAGAGTTTAAGAGGTAAAAATTTCCAGGTAAAAACTTATAAAATAAGCCACCACATCTTTTAAGAAGGAAATGTGTTGTGCAATTTAACTTTAAAAAAAGCATTATAAATGCATTTTTTTCAGCATTATTTCAGCTCTTACAAGTTCAGTTTTAAGTATTATGATCCCCATTCTATTATTCACTCTTCTAGATCTCCTTTTAGCCTCTCCCACATTTGCAGTGGGAAATAATACACTGAGCTAGAAAATAGGAAGAAGGGGAAAAATACCTGCTCCCTTTACTAGCACACTCAAGTTCTGTTCTACAGGTCAGATTCTCTTTTAAGATTTTAATTGGCTAAAAAACATGACAAATAATCATAGAACTTCATTGCCTCAACTTAGACTCTTACTGAGTTCTATTCATGCTCTGTATCTTATCCATACATCTTAAGTGTATTTGATTTCTAAATTGGCAGTCCTGTTCTGAGAGATTGTTTATAGGAGTGACCTGAAATGTTTTCTCTGAATCTCTACATTTGTGAAGATAACACAGAGTGCTTAGTTCTTGGAGATTTTCAGTGCACAGTGCCATAGTACTACACTAAATTGAAGCATCTGAGAAATCTCTCTGTAAAGTTACTTCTTCAATTCTTTGTGTCAGTGCTTATTTATATATTAGAATACAGAATACTGGGGCGCCTGGGTGGCTCAGTGGGTTAAGCCGCTGCCTTCAGCTCAGGTCATGAACTCAGGGTCCTGGGATCGAGCCCCACATCGGGCTCTCTGCTCAGCAGGGAGCCTGCTTCCTCCTCTCTCTCTGCCTGCCTCTCTGCCTGCTTGTGATCTCTCTCTGTCAAATAAATAAATAAAATCTTTAAAAAAAATACAGAATACTATTTTATTATAATATGTCAGTATGTGTGTGGATGTGAGATGTGTTGGTTTGTCTGTGTGTATGTTTTGTCTGGATTTGTGTTCTATTATTTCCCAACATACCAGTTAGGGGAACACTGAAATATTTAGTCCACTGTTTATGTCAAAGCAATGCATAACTACAGATAGGTACACATGATTAAATAATAACTCATTGAGATTTAAGAGTTTACATTGTTTGGTTTATCATATGTTGATGCAGTTCATTATTATGCTCTCTCTTGATGGTGACTATAAGGTATCTAATCCCCCCAAAAAGTTGGGTTTGAACTTCTTACTTGCTATGAGAAAAACTATCTTTCAAAAATAAAATAAGTGCTGCATATTCTACTTAGTTTAAGGAAAAGCAATAGTCTTTGAACCATCATTCTTGTAACATCAATCGGCTATTCATTTGCAGTTCATTTAAACCTAAATTTTTATTATTTTACACATTTTTAATAAAAACCTGTAAAGTGCATTGAATATTTCTCTTCTTTCTCTAACTAAGGATGTAGAACATAGTTTTATAATTCCTTAGTGATGCAGTGCTAATTTTCAGACACTGATACAAAAGAGTAGTAACCTCAGGTATAATTGAAATATAAGTATATTAGGTCCAATAAATTAATATTGATAATAAGTAGCTCTGGGCTGCCATGCAGTCATAAATTTTTGCATTTTTAATTTTTTTTTCAATTTCTTTTTAATTAATTTCAACTAAGAGTAATAAAGAAAAACATCTTTAAATGAATGAGGGGTTAAGTTGCCCTGGTTTTATCCCAGCCACAGAAGCAGACAGAACGGTAGAGATGGAACAGTACCAGAACACAGCTTGTTAGATATCTAACATGAGAGTAAAAATGCCTGGGCAGGGGCGCCTGCGTGGCTCAGTGGGTTAAAGCCTCTGCCTTCGGCTCAGGTCATGATCTCAGGGTCCTGGGATCAAGCCCTACATTGGGCTCTCTGCTCCACAGGGAGCCTGCTTCCTCTCTCTGCCGGACTCTCCACCTACTTGTAATCTCTGCCTGTCAAATAAATAAATAAAAATCTTTAAAAAATAAAAATAAAAATGCCTGGGTAAAGATTTGAAGCACTCTTGTACACAGAGATAATATAATAAATATTATTGTAATATATTTAAGTATATGTTAAGTATATTTAATACTTAACAAGATATACTTATATATTTAATGACCAATATTGTGTGGACACTGCCTAATGAGCACAACTGCCAGCCACAGCACTGAAGTAGAATTCTAGGGATGTCCATGTACATCATTTGGTTGCATCATTAATAAGAGGACTGAGGTGCTCTCAGTGCAGAGCCAAGAGCAACTGTGACTGTCAAAGGATTTGAGTTATTTGTAAGATAACAAGTTTTGGCAAGTATGTGGAAAAACAAGAACCCTTAGGGAGTGTTAGTGATTTAGCTGCTGTGGAAAATAGTATTAGGTTCCACAAAACTAAAATAAGACTACTATATGATCCAGCAAGTCCACGTCTGTGAAATTATATAAAAAGAATTGAAAAGAGTATCTCAAAGAGATACTTGCACTCTCATGTTCATTGAAGCATTTTTCACAACAGCCAATAATTAGGAACAACCTAAAAGTCCATGAATGGTTGATATAAAGGGAAATATGGTATGCACATATAAAGGAATATTATTCAGCCTTTAAAGAGAAGGAAATACTATCATACATGACAACCTTAAGCACTACATGTTAAGTGAAATCAGACACAAGGACCTATACTGAATGATTCCACTTATAGATGAGACCTAACATAATCAAAAACATAGAATAGAAAGTACAATGGCATACCGGCAGCTAGAGGAAGTTAGAAATCAAGAGTTGCAGTCCAATGAATACAGAGTTGTTGTTTTTTTTTTTAAGATTTTATTTATTTATTTGACACAGAGAGAGAGAGATCACAAGTAGGTAGAGAGGCAGGCAGAGAGAGAGGGAAGCAGGCTCACCGCCGAGCAGAGAGCCCGATGCGGGGCTCGATCCCAGGACCCTGAGACCAGGACCTGAGCCGAAGGCAGAGGCTTAACCCACTGAGCCACCCAGGTGCCCTGAATACAGAGTTTTAATCAGGCAAAATGAATAAGTTCTAGATATCTACTGTACAACAAACGCATATAGTTAACAATACCATACTTTCCACTTAAATTTTTATTATAAGGGTACATTTCCTGTTACATGTTTTTTTACCATAATAAAAAAAATTAAAGGATAAATGCAAAAGAAAAAATGGAATGTGGGAGGGGATGCTAGAAATTGTTTATTTAGATAATTACAGTTCTCTGAATAATATTTAAAAGCATTATTACCACTGTCTTCAGACTATTGTAGGGAAAGACAAATAGCATACAGTGCAATTTGGATTTGTAATTCATTAAAATATAAGACTTCTAGAAGGACACAATAAAGGTATTAGGTTGTTTTATTTTAAGGAATTATCTAATTTTTATTTTTTTAAATATTTTATTTATGTATTTGACAGAGAGAGAGAGAGAGAGAGAATGAGAGAGAGAACATGCAAGGAGAGAGGTCAGTGAGAGAAGCAGACTCCCTGACGAGCAGGGAGTCCGATGTGGAACTCAATCCCAGGACTCCAGGATCATGACCTGAGCTGAAGGCAGTTGCTTAACCAACTGAGCCACCCAGGCACCCAGGAATTATCTAATTTTTAATAAAATATCCTGGTTTAAGTCAGATTTGTTTACATATGGCTTTACATATTCCTCTAGTAAATTCAAAGAGGAAAGGAATTTTGTACAATATTTTCTTCTAAACAGAAGTGTGTATACACAACACAAATAAATCTTATAGCTGATAATTAAGCTATAAAATAACTCAACAAATTAGTTTAAAAAAGTCACCTTATATATGCTTCTGAGTTTATAATGTGTAGTAAGAAGGATAAGGTCTTTGTTTCCAGTCAGAACTGGAAAGGAAAGAGGACATCTGGTTATAAATGATTAGAAAATTAAGCTTCCCTGAGACTCAGTGTGAAAGGCAACCTTTAGATTATCTTTGTCACTAATATGGCTACCTG